GGAAACTTTCCGGCGACCCTGCCAATTCTCAAGAAAGACAATTATGAGAATTGGTATAAGCAGATTAAGGTGATTTTCTGTTATCAAGATCTTTGGGATCTTGTGAAGGACGGAGTAACATCGCTTGGGGAGAACGCAACGGAGGCGGAAATGGCTGCGAACAAAGAATTGAAGAAGAAGGATTATAAAGCACTCTTTATAATTCATCAGTGTGTCGATCCTGATAACTTTGAAAAGGTTAGTGATGTTGATTCAGCAAAAGAAGCATGGGAGATTCTTGGAAAGTCGTTTGGAGGCGCAGAGAAGGTGAAAGAGGTGAGGTTACAAACTCACAAGAGAACCTATGAGTTGCTTCAGATGGAAGACAACAAAAGCATTACAGATTTCTTCACCAGAGTTACGAAGTTGGTGAATCAAATCAAAGTATGTGGAGAAGCGCTAACGACGAAAGCAGTTGTCTCAAAGATTTTGAGATCGTTGGCTCCAAAATTCGACCACGTGGTAGTTGCCATAGAAGATTCGAAAAATCTATCAGTGTTGACGAAGGAAGAGCTTCAAGGGACTCTTGAGTCTCGTGAACAGAGGATGGTTGAGAAAGCTGCAGGAAAGTCGAAAGACATGGCTTTGCAGGCACAGTCAGAAAAGGAAAGAAAAGGCAAAGGTAGCTGGAATGGCAACAAAGGAGGAAACCAGTCGAATAAGAAGAAACCTTGGAACCAAGGCAACCAAAGAGGTGGTGCTGCAGGTAAAGGAAGAGGTGGCGGTCGAAAGCCAGACAAAAGCCACATTCAGTGTTTCAATTGCCAGAAGTATGGTCATTATGCTAGTGATTGTCCAGAAAGGAAGAGAAATCAAAAGACTGATGCAAAGCTGGCGAAACATGAAGAAGAAGAAACATTGCTAATGGTCACAACAAAAGATGAAGAAAGATTCCAAGATCAGTGGTACTTGGACTCAGGATGCTCATCACACATGACTGGAAGGAAAGATTGGTTTGTCAACATGAAGCCCTCGTCGAAGAACACCGTGAAGTTTGCAAATGACAACACTCTAGCAGCCGAAGGTGTTGGTGATGTTCTGATTATGAGGAAAGATGGCAAAAGGTCAACAATTTCCAATGTGTTGTACATACCAGGCATGAAGAGTAATTTGCTCAGCATAACGCAGCTTGTCGAAAAGAACTACAAGGTAGTTGTCGAAGACAAGATGATGAGAGTTCTCGACGCAGGTGGTAGATTAATCTTGAAGGCTCCAATGTCTCAGAATAGGACCTTCAAGATTGGACTCAATGTGATGGAGCACAGATGTCTAGCAACTGCAGCCAGCAGAGATGAGTGGTTATGGCATTTTCGACTAGGTCATCTCAACTTTAATGACATCAGAGAACTGAAGAGAAGAAATATGGTTTCAGGATTACCAGAAATCGACATTCCAAGTGAAGTCTGTGAGGAGTGTGTTCAGTCGAAACAACACAAGAATAGCTTCAGCAAGGATGCAGGAAGGAAGTCGAAGGCTATACTTGAAGTCATATACTCTGATGTATGTGGTCCAATCCAGGTGGATCCGATTGGTGGCAATAGATACTTTGTCACGTTTATAGATGATTACAGTCAAAAGCTGTGGACTTACCTCATCAAGAAAAAAGGTGATGTGATTGAGGTATTTTCCAGATTCAAGTCCATGGTCGAAAGACAGAGTGGCCAAAAGCTGAAAATTCTGAGGACTGATGGTGGTGGAGAGTATGTGTCGAAAGACTTTGATACACTATGTGTAAAAGAAGGGATTGTGCATGAGGTGGTGCCACCTTACACTCCACATCAAAATGGGATTGCAGAACGCAAGAACAGAACCATCATAAATATGGTGAGAAGTATGTTGAATGGAAAGCATCTACCTAAAGAATTATGGGGAGAAGCAGTTTCGACAGCAACATATATATTGAACAGATGTCCGACGAAGAAGATTGAAGGAATCACACCAGAAGAATGTTGGTCTGGTGTCAAGCCTAGTCTCAGTCACTTGAAGGTGTTTGGATCTATAGCACATAGACATGTGCCAGATCAGTTGAGAAGGAAGCTTGATGATAAGTCGAATCAGATGATCTTGATAGGATATCATTCGACAGGAGGTTACAAGCTGTTCAACCCAGTGAATAAGCAGGTGGTGATCAGCAGGGACGTGATCATAGATGAGCTTAAAAAATGGGATTGGACTGAGAATGCCAAGAAGGATTCAGTGAGAATCTCTTGTGAAGAACCAGCCAATGAAGTGGAAATAGAAGTTCGACAGGAACCAGTTGCAGATGAAGCAGGTTCAAGCAGACCTCGACGAACAAGACACATGCCTGCAAGGTTGCAAGAATGTGTAATTACATCAGATGATGTAGTCGATGAAGAAGGTGAGCTGGTACACTATGCTTTCTACGCAGATGTCGAACCAGTCAATGCAGCTGAGGCATTGAAAGATTCGAAGTAGATGAAAGCAATGATTGAAGAGTTGGAGTCCATCGAAGTCAATGATACCTGGTCACTTGTCGAATTTCCGCAAGGCAAGAAGGCAATTGATGTGAGGTGGGTTTACAAGGTAAAGGTAAATCCTAAAGGAGAAGTAACTCGACACAAGGAGAGACTTGTGGAGAAAGGATTTCTTTAGAAGGAAGGAATCGACTTCGATGAAGTATTCGCACCTGTTGCTAGAATCGAAACAATGAGGTTGGTTGTTGGTCTAACAAATATGAACAACTGGAACACATGTCAGATGGACGTGAAGTGTGCATTCCTTAATGGCCCCTTAGACGAAGAAGTTTATGTTGCACAACCAGCTGGGTTTGTGATACAAGGCGAAGAAAGAAAGGTGTACAGGCTTCATAAAACCCTGTATGGACTTAAGCAAGCTCCAAGAGCATGGAATAACAAAATCGACAGCTTCTTAAGGGAGAAGGAATTTATGAAGTGTACAACTGAGCATGGAGTATATGTAAGAAGAAGCAATGGCGAATTGCTTATACTATGTCTCTATGTTGATGATTTGTTGATAACAGGGAGTTGCAAGAAGGAGATCGAAGATTTCAAACATGACCTAAGTGAGGAGTTTGAAATGTCAGACTTGGGAAATCTCTCACATTTCCTTGGCATCGAATTCTACAAGACAAGTAGAGGTTTGACGATGCACCAAAGAAGATATGCAGGCGAAATACTCAAGAGATTTGAGATGCAAGATTGCAACCAAACTTCGACTCCAGCTGAGCCCAAATTGCAACTGTCGAAGGATTCAGATGAAGATGATGTCGACCCAACCCAATACAGAAGACTTATTGGGTCACTTAGATAGCTTTGTCACACAAGGCCTGACTTAGCATACAATGTTGGTACGGTAAGTAGATTCATGCAGAAGACAAAGGTATCACACCTAGCAGCGACGAAGAGGATACTGAGGTATCTGAAAGGAACTCTCGACTATGGTATTTTGTTTCCAGCAGCTGATGAAGGAAAAGAATGCAAGTTAGTGGGATACACAGACTCCAGTTGGTGTAGTGATGCTGAGGATCGAAAATTCACAGCTGGTTATGTGTTTATGTTAGGTGGTGCACCAGTTGCTTGGAATTCGAGAAAGGAACCAGTAGTGGCATTGTCATCATGCGAAGCAGAATATATAACTGCTTCTCTTTGTGCATGTCAAGCAACTTGGATGGTGAACTTGGTCGAAGAAATCACAGGGAAGAATCATGGAGCAATTACCATGAAGATAGACAGCATGTCAGCTATCAACTTGGCGAAGAATCCAATAGCTCATGGTCGAAGCAAGCACATCGAAATGAGGTTCCATTATCTTCGAGAGCAGGTAACAGAAGGGAAGATGAAGTTGGAACACTGCAGAACTGAGAATCAGATTGCAGATATCATGACGAAGAGAGTGCAGGTCGAAGCCTTCAGAAGACTAATAGCCATGATGAATGTAGACAGTTTAGACACAATGAATTAGGTGGTGACAGTTAAAGTTTCAGCTTAAGAGAGAGCATTGGGATAGACTCACACTTGAGGGAGAGTGTTAAGTATTAACAAGTGTGTGTTAAGTATTAACAAGTGTGAGTAGGGTGGATAATAGTACCACATTGGATAGAAATGTGGTGACTTGAGCATTTATAAGTGAAAGAACCCATACACCTATCACCTTAAGGTTTTGGGTGAGTATGTGGTGTGTCTCTCACAAAGGTTGCTCTAGAAAAAAAAAATTCCCACTATGTTCAATGCTCCCTAGTTGAAAGTCCAATAGTGGTATCATGAGTCTTTGGTTTGAATAAAGAAAACGAGTTACTTGTATCGAAAGTATCCCCATAGGTCGTGGGTTGAGTGTCTCGTTGAAGAATGTCAACGGCGGTACAAGGGTGCAGTTGCACAATTAAAGTTTCCGCTTAAGGGAGAGCATTGGGATAGACTCACACTTGAGGGAGAGTGTTAAGTATTAACAAGTGTGTGTTAAGTATTAACAAGTGTGAGTAGGGTGGATAATTGTCCCACATTGGATAGAAATATGGTGACTTGAGCATTTATAAGTGAAAGAACCCATACACCTATCACCTTAAGGTTTTGGGTGAGTATGTGGTGTGTCTCTCACAAAGGTTGCTCTAGAAAAAAAAAGTCCCACTATGTTCAATGCTCCCTAGTTGAAAGTCCAACACAAGTAAATTTAAATTTGTAATTAGTATAAATATTAGTATCCAATCAAATTCTATGTGTCTAAGAATTTTCTAATTACTTTTTGTTAATCAACATAAACAGTATAAAACGTTATTATAAACAAATTTAAATAATACAATCAGACACATGACATTCTCATAACTATATTATATTGATGTTCAAATTCTCTGTCAACATCTTTTTGAACAAATCAAAGTATTATTTGTGTTTTGAAAGGAAATATATTTTTTTGATATATTGGAGAAGAAAAATTAAAAGAATAAAGTAATCATGGTAACACCATAAGAAATTGGCAGTTTCAACTTATGAGTCGTTGGAATCTGATATGCGAGAAATTTTCCTTTGCTGTTTTTTGGGAAACAACGAGAAACAACCGGTTGATGTTTTATCCATAGAACATGTTTTGATTGTATCGAACTTCTTATCCTCTTGTAGTTTCTCTTGTTCTGTTATTTTCTTCAATTTTTCCTTGTATATCTTCTGCATCACATATGTTTCAGCTAGTCCAAATCCTGCTGATGCCATGCTTTGTAAGAAAATAGTATGAATGATGATGAAAAGTGTCTTGAAAGTGAGAAGAACGTTGGGGGAGAATATGGATATATATAGACTTGGAATAGGCTTGGGGAACAAGGAAAGAAACTCGCCTCATACCGTCTAGTTTGACTCTGACTCATTTATTGTTTTTCTTTTGTTTCAAAAAGTTTGGGTGCTTCCTCGTTATTTATTGCTTTAACAAGTCCACATGATACAGCTCACACACTTATTATGGAAACAAATATATATATATATATATATATATATATATATATATATATATATATATATATATATATATATATATATATATATATATATATATATATATATATATATATATATATATATATATATATATATATATATATATATATTATGAGTAATGTTTTATCTAAAATTGTCTAAGTACGTAGCACATGTGCTTTATCTCTTGTGGTTATTCTTGTAGTGATATTTGATCTTCCACGTCTATTTCTAGAGGTAGGAATATGCCATTACAAACGTATGCCGTGGTTGTTACTCAATTTTAACTAGTGGACTGCTGTGGTTTTGCTATGACGCTTTTAGATTTACATTCCATCTATGTAGTTTGTTGCCTTGTTTCCTAAGTTTGTTTTTTCTAATATTGATTGATTTCTTCTACCTTTACTAACCACTATAATTGAGAACTAGGCCTTGTTTCCTAAGTTTGTTTTTCTAATATTGATTGATTTCTTCTACCTTTACTAACCACTATAATTGAGAACTAGGCCAATACCCGTGCAAGATAGGTAATATTATGGCTAACTTAAAGTTTCTTTATTTTTAGTCCATTTACAAATTTACAAAATTAGTCTTCTTATTTTCTTTATAAATAGTTTTTGTTCCTTCATTCTTCCTTTTTCAGGAAGTTAAAAAAAATTAGTTTATGGCAAAATTTACAATTCTTTCTCAAAAATTTTTGAGAATATCGAAGATGTCTAATTATGTCAACAATCAATTATGAGAGACTCTTAATAATTAGTAACAACTCTATATTAAAACATTTTATTTTGAGCATCGCAATCGATTATTTTAAGTACCTAATCGATTGAAGCATTCATTTGGCACATTGATTGTTTCCAAATTTATACCGCACATTGACCTATAAATCAAGAGCTTCTCTATCACTTTTTTACATGCAGAAAAAGTGACAAACCTCGCTTTTCATTTCTCTTATCGCCTCTCTAAAATCTTTCTTATTTTCTCACATATTTTAGTCATAGTACTTTGATAAATATACTTGAGTCTAATGAGGAACATTGTTCTCTTCTGTTGTCTCTTTTATTTTAAAGTTGTTTTCTTTACTTTGAATTTTCACTGCATATTTTTTTCCATTCTTTTATAAAATGGTTTTAAACTGTGCTCTCTTAAATGCTTTTAGTTTAAATTAACATTTTTCAAGTCTCGGTAATTCACCCCCCTCTTGTGTAGGAAGTTATATGTCCAACAAGAAGTATCAAAACCTAAGTCTTGTATAAAGACTAATCTTCTTAGGAGAAAGATGACTTCCAATACTTCTTTTAACAAGAAAACTTTTCTAATCACACCTCCAACATTTAATGGTGATATGTTTGAAATGTGAAAAACAAGATTTAAAATATTCATTTAAAATTTTGATCTTGAATTGTGAGAAATAACAATCTATTGCTCGTTTATCCCTACTTATTGTATTAATTGTGAACTAAAAGATAACTCATATTTTCTTTTGAACGAAGAGGAAAGGAGAAAATTCGAAATTGATTTTAACACTAAAAACTTTATAGTTATGTCTTTAAACGAAATTAATTTTTTTTTTACATTCTTAATTCTAATTCTACGAAGGATGTGAGACACTCTTGAAATGATCTATGGAGTATCTTCAAATATCGAACAACAGAGAATGAAAACTTGAGGAGAAGAAATTGAAACATCAGATGAATGTAAAAAATACTTTCATAGATGGTGTTCAACCCCAAGAAAATTTGGAAGGCTTGTTATAAATTTTGTAGGTAACAAAAATCTAAGAATTAAGAATTGGTATCACAAACCCATTCCAATCCTTAAATCAATAGATGATAATGTTTATAATTTTTAAGAAAATTCCATGAAAGAAGAAATTAAATTAGTTGATTCAATTGTTAAAAGATGAAGGGATGGACTCAAACCCATAAAAATCTCTAGCAACTTCATCAAATAACTCTTTTTGAAGAACAAGAAAAAGAAGAATAATAAAATTTAGTAGTTTCCTTTGAAAGAAAAATCTCGTTAATCAAACGATCCTCGAAACATTCAATGGCCAATGGAGAAACTCAATCAAGAAGAGAATAGAAGAACAAGAAGTTTCATCAAATTGAATCATTGAAAGAATAATTGAGAAAGAAGTCTCAACGAGCAATATATCCAGAAACTCAACATCAAGGATAAATCTCTCAAAGAATCAACCTTTGGTAGAATATTTGAAGAATCTTCTTCCAAAAAATAAGATTAACAAGTCTATGACACCTTAAATCCCAATAATGTTTTTTAATGTATAATATAACATTTGTTGCAGAATAATTAACTATAAAATCAAAAGGGTATCACATTAACATAGATAACATGGAAAATTCTCATAAATGAGTACTTTGATCAATACATAACAATGAGAAAAATAATTAAAAGATATGAATTACAACACCTATGTCACAATATCAGAGATTTATTACATACTAAACCAACTAGTTGACTTACTAGTTCAACAAAACATAAACATAAAGGAAACTGAATAAGTGGTCTTCTACACCATCTTCCATAAGGCACTCCTCAATATCGTCGTAACAATACTCTACACATAGATTCACATTGGGGAACATAGAAATAGAGAGGTATCATAATGATAATATATCACATTTACACGATTCATACCACATCACATAGAATCATGTTGTAATGCCCAAGTTTTTACCCCTAAGATCCCATATGTTATTTGCATCTCATCCCACAAACAAGATTTCAAGCTTTGGTTCTCTTACCTTCTTCTGCAGGTTTGTACTTGAGAGATCACCGAGCTCCTTTGTTTTCTTATTTATTTGATATTTGTTTATGTTTATGTTTACTAACCATTGATTAAAATCCAAATGAATGTTTTTTTTCCTTTAGTAACTTTTTCAGGAAGAATTTGGATCAAGGATATCAAATACTAGTCCCTCAGCTCGAATGAATTTCATCTGAACAAAGTCGAAGTTGATCTGCAACCATTTCAAAACCATATGATCAAGACCTTCCCAAGATTTGATTGACTTTTATTTAAGAGACTCCAAGGTTCATGTATTTATTTTCATGCCTTCTTTGACAAGCAAAAAGAATCGAGCCAGAGCCAAGACAACACATCAAAAAGGCAAATTTTCACCATTTTTGCCTGTGATAATCGATTATCAGTACTGGGTAATGGATCACCCTGTGCGGATTTTATGAAAATTGGGCAAATTCAAATTCTGCAGCATTTTTGGCACCAAATTCAAATATTGCAATATGAGAATATTCTAGATCACTTCATTTTAATTCCCCTACCTCATCATAATTAATCCCCACTATACACCTTCACTAATCACCACTTGATCATTAATTCCCCTCCAAATTCAAATTCCAAGCCTAATTTTAATTCTAAACCAAACACCAACCCACCAAATTTTCCAAGCCTTCTATAAATAGAGGCCTCATTTCTCTCATTTCATAAGCTTTTGATAGAAAAATTCACCTTGTCAAATTCTTTCTTGACTCTAAATTTTTCTCCAATTACCAAATTCACCAAAGCTCTTTCTTCCTTTGAAAGTTAGTAAGTTCATCATTAGGACTTACTAATATTTGAGTTAAACCTTCATCCATTCACTTTTTCATCATCAATTCTAGTATATTAATTCTTTGAAGTGTGGTTTGTGGAGCTGATTTAAAGAATTTCCAGATTTGGAGTGGTAATTTCTTGATCCAATATTGTTGTTCTTGATACATTTTCCACAATATGATCTATTGTTGATTCTTGTTGCTTGATCTTTGGATCTTGCAAATTGTGTTCTATTAGTGTTAATTGCTGTTATTTTACTTGAATTTTCGTGCTCAATTGCATCCTTGTTCATAAGGTGTTTGAAGAAATGATTAATCAAGTTTCTGCACATTTTCATACTATTTTGCTGCTGCTTTAGCAGTAGTAATTGATTACCAGTTTAGGATAATCGATTACTCATTGTTGATTTTTCCTTTTGGCTCTGTTTTGGGACTATTTTGGTTCTTTCTTCTTCTTCTTCTTCTTCTTCTTCTTCTTCTTCTTCTTCTTCTTCTTCTTCTTCTTCTTCTTCTATTTCCTTTTGATTTTTGCCTTAGAATGCACTTTTAAAGATCCTTTTCCTCTTTAAATTCATTGGACTTAGGGTGTATATGAAGTTGGATAAATATTCACTAATTCAAATCTATCCTTAAAGTGAATTGTTCAATTCATTTTAGGTGCTTTGAGTTAATGATATGTTTAGTGCTTTAATCCACCAAGATGAGTGGATGAACTTAAAGACAGAATGACCTTGAACATGTAATCCAATTTGGCGTTCCTTTTCCTCTTATCATTTTTCTTTTGATTGATGAAAATCTTCGATATTGTTTGAACTTATTTCAAGTTCTTGATGAAGATGATATTGTTACCTATTTCCTTTTTGTGCGGTATTGCCTTCGGAGAGTGATCTGCATATCACTTCTCTAGCACGTATTAGCTCTAACATCGTTATTAACCGGCCTCAGATAGTCGTTGTTTCTACATAAATCCGATTATGATTGCTTAACATAGCGTTAAATTGTCCCGTATTTAGAAAGTGATCATTCGTGGCTCAAACTTATGTTTGAAAGTCCAAGTATCGTTGATTATTTGTCTTAGGTTCATCACCTATAAAACTTGTTATTAGGAGGCTTTGACTTTATCAATCCTCTAATAAATTTTCATCAACTTTAGCTTAAGTGCATGA